AGCCGTTTTACCTACAATCTCTGTTCTGTGTGACGTACACGCGTAGGCAAATCAGATCACTTGGACGTGGCTGTGGTTACAAGAGGTAAAAACGCTATAAATACTGTTCATTTTCTCACACAAACCGCTCGTTTCGTGTCTTAGGCCATCAATGTGTACTTAAAGTCATTAAATCGTGTTTAATCTGGACTTCTCTGTGCATGCTCTTTGAGGTGGTGACCATAGACCTCCATTATATGACTGACAGACACGAACGGTTTGACCTAAAAATATCAAAATTGAAAATACTGCAGAAACAAAGACACTTACATCTTGGATGCCCTTGAGGTATGCTAAAACATACCAAAAATGAATTTCAAGTGCATGTTGCTATCCGTTTGCCTTTCCTAATAATTTTTGTCACTTTTGTTCTTGCTCAGGATCTGAGACATGTGAACATCTCCATTAAGAAAAGTCTGTTTGAAAGAGAAGAACAGGACCACAAGTGACATTCTCATGGCTGAAGGAAAAGCGAGGTGACTGTCTGTCTCTAAACAAAGGATAATTGTGAACATTTCTAATTTTTCTGCATTTCAGGTTTCATGAGATTCATTTGATGATGTCTCCGCAGATTTCGAAGGAAGCGCGATCGACTCTCTCAGACAGTCAACACCAAGGATTGTCCATAAACTCATTTCCTTCTGCTCCTTTACGTTGGTTAATTCCTCAGCACTTTACCTCTGATTTACATTTATTTGGGTAAATGCAAGGCTTACATAACTGTTTTTTTGTACTGGTGGATTGTGCGACTAAGACTGTATTACAGTGTCTTTATAGACTGAAATTGAACATCACAAGCTCTTTTTCTCCCTTACTGCCTCTGTGTTGGTGCCAGACACTCCATTCCCTCTGACTTGATATATGCGCTGTCGATAAGTGAGTTATCAGGAGAAAGAGGCATAGTCTCTGACCCCTGACCTCAGCCATATCTCATAACAGTCCAAGGTACAACTGTAATATCATGAATGTCTGTTTCAATGAACTTTCTAATATGAGCTTGATGATTCATATTTAATAAAGGCTATAAAATCAAACGCTGAAACTGATCTATGCTGTCGCTGTCGTTGTTTCAACTTGCCGGAGATTTAAGTCACAATAAGGAAATGTAATGTAATGGAAAAATGTGTCCTATCAAGCCCTTTGCTAACTGACTTTTAATTCATTCCAACTCAGCCAAGCCTACGTTTTCTTTTTACTTTGGGGACTGAACGACCTGTCAAGTAATTATCTTTTCTGCCCGGAAGGGTTATCTTGTACATGAATTACATTTTTATACTAGTGGTTATGTTTTCTCATGTTTTTGAGTAATAATATGCTATAGAAATATGTGCAATTTAATGCTTTATAATGCTTAAATGATGCAGGCCAGAGAGAATCTATGTATGTGAAAATTTGAAATGTATTATAATAGGCCTATATTATTATTAATAAAGGTAACACTTTAGTTTAGGGTTCAATTCTCACTATAGTTGCATATTACTAGGATATTGGCTGTTTATACATATAAATGACATATTAATGCCTTATTCTGCATGATCATATTCTACATCCCTTAATCCAACCGATACCTAAACTTAATAATTACCTTACTAACTATTAATAATCAGTAATTATGAGTTTATTAAGTCATAGTTAGTTAGTTAATAGGAAGAATTGGACCCTAATCTTAAGTGTGAGCAATAATTATATTGTTGTTATTATTATCATTATAATTTCCAACAGTGGTTGTCGTCTCATCTTTTCAATAATGGCATGCTAAGAAATATGTTTAATTAAATTTTGAATAATAATGCTGGAATAATACCATAAATAATAACAATACTACTACTACTAGGAGTAATTATAAAAATAATACTGTAGAACCTTACAAACAAGTGGGGAAAATATTGATTACGATTATATTACTAATGACAAAGTAGTATTAATAATAATGTTGTTGCAATAATAATGATTTACAATCATTTGTAGCTCTATGAGCTAAATGTATTGAAGTCTCTCTATCTCTCTCTGCATATTACAATATTGCCAAAGCTTGTAACACTTAGTATAATAATAAAGACATAAAGAATAATAACAACTTAAATTTAAATGTACAAATTAAATTAATTGCACAATTAACTGATTATAATTTTTATAATTATTAACAGATTATAATTTTTGTGAACACTTGATACCACAGTGTTTTAACATATATTTTAACCCCTTAACTGTCACAGTCCTGGTACCGGGACGCCTAACTTTACTTCACTATATTTCTATTAAATCCTAGTATAATTATGACAAATTATATATTGTTGGAAAGGTCTAAGACTTCTAAATAAATATTCTACCCCTGTTTTGTGTTAAAAATTATGTAGGAAGAGTAATTGATGACCTCAAAAAAATCTGCATTTTAACAGGAGGTCTGACTTTTGTCACAAAAAGTCGATGCACCCACTTTTAATCATCGAAACTTCTGTTTTTATGCTAAAAGTTCATAATAAAACATATAATCTAGTATTATTCAATTAAAAAAAATATATAGTATAATGTTATCCTCTAAAAATTATAATAAACATATATTATCCTCTAAAATATAATATTATTTTTTATCGCCTTTTTTATTATATCACATATTTTAGTATTATCATAAATTAGGTATCATTTGAAAGCTTAAAAACTCAGAATTCATCCTGTGAAAACATCCTGTTACCATAGAAACGGTACTTATTATATCAGGCTCCTCCCCTTTTGGGCATCATTATATTTCATAATTTATAATCAAAACCTTTTCTAATCTTGACAAAACACATATTGTCAGAAAGGTCTGAGTCTCAGGGTTCCAAATTTTGTGACAAAATTGATATTTGAACAGAAATGTATTAATTTGTTAAGGCAGAATGTATACAACAAAATTCAATGGAATTCAATGGCACCCGGTGGCTATTTTTGGTACTACGCCTAAACAAAATCTAAATTTTTGTGATATCAACTTCAAATTTGGAACATAACTTGGTTAGATTTATGGCTTTGATTTTATAGTAATTTTAGAGTAAATAAAAAATATTTAGTACAGTATATTTGATTCAATGTGAATTTAAACTTCCATAACTTTTTCATACTTTAATTTTTTGAAGTGTTTTCACTTCAGCAATAATCTTCTGATTGTTTCCTTTAAAACAAGACCAAACTTGGGTATATATTCTTGAATTACAACCATTTAAGTTTGAACAGTCCATTTTAACCCCATTCTCAGAAAGGGGGGTGACAGGTAAGGGGTTAACATATATTTACACACACATACACACATTACGGTCATTGTGGTGGACATTAGGGAAACACACTGAGGCACACACACACATTCACCTACTGTCTCTCGCTCTCTCTCGTAACAATATGCAAGTTTGTAATAAAGAGCATTTCAATTCTCAATTCTCTCTCTCCTAACTACCCTAAGCAACCAACACTTAAAGAGATACTCCACTTTTTTTTTTCTTTTTTTTTGGAAATAGGCTCATTTTACAACTCCCCCAGAGTTAAACAGTTGAGTTTTATCATTTTTAAATCCATTTAGCCAATTTTCATGATATTTAGAAGAATATCATTAACCAGACAGTTTCTGGTCCCATTGACTTCCAAGTTACTTTTTACTGACATATTGGCCTCATCATTGGATCATGAATATAAAACTACTTGATCATGGATACAAAACTAAATAAGCTGTAGATCTGAAATCAAATCTGAGACATGGTATGGTGTGAGCGGTCAGAGAATAAGCAGTGGCACATGTTATCACACGACACCTTGAGGGTTGTGTTGATATGGACATTAGCTATCTCTCCATTCTCTCCACATAACAATGGCAGCGGCCTTTTAGGGAGTGCTTTCAAGACTGTTCTCCACTTATCTCTGAGAGTAAAAATAAACACAGTGAGTGAGACGTCTGACCCCCACAGAGACCCCCGGCTCCAGTCATATAAGAATCAAGAGGAGAGCCAAAGCTTGCCTCTCGGACATTAAGACAGACTTTCTTTCTACATCTCAGCTGGTCATCAGGTAAGAGGTTTACATCTTGAATATTATATACAGAAAAATGAACCGTATGAGGTACAATATTTATGTTTCAAACAAGAATAAAGTTTTTTGGATGATTTAGAAACGCTGTTTTTTAATTGTTTGGTTCACTTATGAAGGTATATAATTTATATTTATTAAAATAATATAATGTTATTAATTAAATTATATATGTTTTTTTTTTTTAAATACAGAGTAAAAATGTCAGACAACGAAGAAGTGGAAGAGTATGAGTAAGTGTACCAATTCATCACTCTATCATCCATCCATCGGTGACAAATATGTCTCTTACAATATTTCTTTTAGTGATATTACAGTGAATACAGTGACAAACGCTATAGTGTATTTTAACACCATCCACTTGTGACTCATCTGATAAGTACACTTAATCTGAGAGTTCATGCAGCTGTTGGGAACATACTTGGGCTATGAGAACAATGGAAATAACAGCACTATTTTGTCTTGTTCTCTAGGGAGCAGGAGGGTAAGTCTTGTGTTTCATAAAAATAACTTTCATACTGTAAAAAATACTGTTTTTGCTTACGGAAAGGTCAGAAATATCAGCCTTGCTGCTACAGAGTTTTAGAAAAGCGAAGTAACTGAAGTATTTGTTAAATAAATAACATTTTGTAACAACAGAGTTGTTAAAATATTGTTATTTAAACTGAAATTTGAAATGGTGGACAATAGTAAAACCTTCAAACCATACCAGCTGATCAGGTTTTGCATGCGTTACCATGCCATTTTAAAACAAAAATCATAAATATTTTGGACGAAGTTCGGACATGCAAGCGTGGTAACAAGATATGGAGAACCGTCATGTAGATTTATGACTGTGAAATCTTATCAGTTGGACAAGTTTTGTTAAACAAAACACACCCAAAAGTGACAATGTTATGGAAAAAGTGGAGCGGAAATGTCTGAATGATTTGCATACCATCACTAATCCATTATTGTCTTCCAGTGGCACTTGTGGACCGATCTCTTAGCTTCCATCTTAGTGATATTTGTGTGTTTGTTTGCTTATCTAACGTGCATGGTGTGGCTTAGAGGTGCAAGAAGAGGAGGAGGAGGAGGTGCAGGAGGAGACGCAGCATGAGGAAGGTAGTGAACGCTTATCTGCCAAAGTCCATTCACTAACACTAAAAAGTACTATAGTAACATGGTAATACCATATAGCCTACCTACCTTAAAGGGTTAGTTCACCCAAAAATGAAAATTAAGTCATTAATTACTCACCCCCATGTTGTTCCAACCCCGTAAGACCTTCGTTAGTCTTCGGAACACAAATGAAGATTTTTTTGATTAAATTTGAGAGGTGGATCACTGCTACATCTCCTAAGGGATCGAAACTTGACGGCCCAGAAAGTCAATGAAGAAAATATTTACATATTCCATGTCACTACAGTGGCTCAACTATAAGTTTATCAAGCGACGAGAATACTTTTTGTGGGAAAAAACAAACAAAAATAACGATTTTATTCGACTATTTCTTTTCTTCCTTCCAGTTCAAGAGATTTCCACGACGCATACGCGAGAACTGAACTAGACGTAGTTGAAGGAGATCGCAATTCTCGCGCATGCGTCGTGGAAATCTCTTGAACTCTCGTCTCAGGCCCAGAAGGAAGAAAAGAATAGTTGTTATTTTTGTTGTTGTTTTTTCACACAAAAATTATTCTAGTCGCTTGATAAACTTTGTTCGAACTCGTTCATCAAAATGAACGAATCTTTTCCTGAGTCAATTCGTTCATTTCGTTCGTTGAATGAACCAAATGACATGGAAAAAGATTTGTTCATTTTTGAAAAAAAAAGATTCGCTGTGGTGTAGGGAGTAAGTGCAACCGAATGACAAATTAAAACGTATTTGCGACTCTGAATTGCGTGATATAAAGTCACAATTGTGTGTTATAAAGTCCAAATTGTGAGAGATAAAAAAAAATTTTTTCCTTAGAATTGGACTCCCTTAGAAAAGATTTCAGACTTGCGAGATATA